ATGTTGACGAGGGACTATTTGGGCCTGTGCTGAACACTTGGTGTTGAAGACATTCCCATCTTCCCTCCTTCTTCGTCTAACCCCACCTCCTTCGTCTGTGTATGGTTTGGGCTGGCGCAGTCTTCTTGTGTGAAGCGCCAGACCCCTTCACACCATGAGGATGATGATGTATGTTCGGGGCTGCATTACAATATTGATTGTTCGGATCATTGGTATCTAAGTCTTCCGCTGTGCTATCTTATACTTGTACTGAAAGGTCGGTTCTTGTTCTGGTCTGCACCTATACGGTATGCAACAGTTTGGTACCGGAGCGGACCTCTCATACAGAGGACCCGCTCAATCAAGTAGCCAGCTTGCGATCTATTGATCACTCATTAGTAACGCATGTAGGACTTAGTCAAATCTCTGAATTTTTTTTCTCTCGCAACAACTATCTGAAATTTCTGATATTCGCATTTTCGTTCTATCTGAAAATTTCTGATATTAGTAGTTCGTTTTTACGTAACAAATATCTGAAAATTTCTGATAAATCGCATTTCGTTTTGTCTGAAAATTTCTGATAGTAGCATTTCGTTTCTCTGATATTTCGCATACATAGCTGAAATTTCTGAAGTTAGTATTTTTGTTCTCTAGGCATATTGGGATAACGATAGAAGTGGTCATATTCTCGAAAACTGAAACTATTCTTTTCTGAAAATCGCATTTCCATTCTATCTCGCAATTTTTTTTTTTTTTAAACCGAGTCTTGCGAAGCCTACCAATATTGCGTAAGGCATATTTGGAGGTTGCTATTTTATCAGAAACTGAAAATCGCATCTTTACTCCATTTCGCAAATTTTTTTTTCAAAATCGCAGTTTGTAAAAGCCAAAACTTTGCGGCACCTAGCCTAGATCTCGTTCATAATACTCTTCTGACATATCCTACTCATCATAGATCGACAGATATGTACAAAAAAAAAGGAAGTAGTCCTCATTTATTTTTTATTTTATTTTATCTGTTGATTAGGGCCAGAGGAAAGTATTGTTGCGTTGGTTTCCTACCTACGTGTTCCCTCCCACCCACCCTTTGCATGCATTTTCTGGGTTGGAACAGTGACACGTCAACAATACCACATCAACAATGACACGTCAGACACAGTGCCACGTCAGCAGTGCCACGTAAGCAGTGCCACGTCACAGTGCCAGATCAGCAGTGCCACCTCACAGTGCCAACTCACAGTGCCACGTCATCAGTGCCACATCACAGTGCCAGATCAGCATTGCCACGTCAGCAGTGCCAGGTCACATTGCCACGTCAGACATAGTGCCACGACAACAGTGCCACGTCAGCAGTACCACGTCAGACACAGTGCCACGTCAGCAGTGCCACATCAGCAGTGCCACGTAAGCAGCAGTGCCACGTCAGCAACATGACGGGCCTGCCAGGCCAACTGGCCAATGAGACCATTGTCGCCTACAAGCAGCGTTGCCTAGCTCAGATAGAGGTTGAGGAACAACGCCTGCTGGCAGTCGAGGCTGCCCGCGTACAGGCCGAAGAGGCAGCAGCAGCAGAGAAGCTGCGGCTACAGGCCGAAGCAGACGCAGATACCCAGGCTCGCCGAAAGGAAGCCCAGGATCTGCTGCTGCGGCACGAAGCCAACAGCATCGACAAACTCAAGTACTGGCATTCTAAACCAAACGGCGACGAGGCAACACCGGAAGAGAAGCACAAGGAGTTCCTCTCCAAACTCGTGACGCGGTTGTTGTATGCTTGCAACTACCAAAGGTCAGAGTTGGAGAGACAACACCGGGACCTGACGCAACAGCATCAGGAGTTAGCGACGCTCCGCCATATAGTGCAGAGCCACGAGGATGCAACTCGGGCACTCAATGCCCGATTGTTGGACCTGGAACAGGCTGTGTACCAGGACCAGCTGCTGGAGCTTCCAGCAGTGCACCCTCAAGCCGCCAACTGGAGGACCGCGTTGACCACGTAGTGGCAATGCTCGGCGACATCAGCACCTTCGCTGCGCCGACCACCACCATCAGCAGTCAGCTGCATACATTGAAGACCGAGGTCCAGAAGCTGCAGTCGACAAACGCGGACGACAATCCAAAGATGTACAAGATACCAACTTTCAACCTGGAGAGGTTCGACGACTACACGCAGCAGGATCCCGTCCTCTGGTGGGAAGCATTCACAACGCAA